GGTTCCTTCTAGGCCAACAAGGAACTTTCTGCCTCTTCAACTTAACAGGTGCACTAGTGATTACGCCATGCACAATCCTTTTCGAGTATTATGCGCTAATTATAATTCTTTTCACTTTTTAATCTCAAGTGAGCTCTCTCTCCCCTCACTAAAATCTTCTATTTTCAGCTACCTCCGACAGAATCACTGATCACCACTGCTGTGAGTAGGGTCATAGCTTGGTGGGCTGGCAAATAATTTCCCCCCAACGGGTCAGTGATTCTTCACCTTTCAATTTTAATTATCTCTATATATATAAAACAGTTTGTCCTGACTGACTGATTGGTGATCAACGCACAGCCCAAACGGTAAAGGCTAGGAAGCTGAAATTTGGACTCAAGTATCCTTTCATAGTCTAGGTCCCCACTAAGAAGGGATTTTGGAAAACTCGAGCTCCAAAGGGGGGAAAACAGGCTCCAACGTTTGTATGAAAAATCTACAGTTTTCATCTAATTAACTTTAAACTTAGTTTGTATACTCCAATTCCAATTCCAAGAAAAGCTGTATACTTGGTTTTTTGATATTTTTTTTTGGGCCTAAAATATGCACAAAAGGAAACCGCGTCAACAGCCCACAGCCCAAACGGTAAAAGCTAGGATGCTGAAATTTGGGCTCAAGTATCCTATCATGGTGTAGATGCGCACTAAGAAGGGATTTTGGAAAATTCGAGCTCCAAAGGGGGAAAACGAGCTCCAAAGTTTGTTTGAAAAATCCGCACTTTTCAATTGTATTTATTTTGTGTGTGCATAACATACCCATATGTTTTCACCTTATAAGTTACCAGTAGGAAGGCATTTAAGGTATTTAAATGAACATTTTCTGTTCTTGACAAAAAATTGTTCAATAGTCCGTTACATTTTTGTTCTTGCCAAACTATTTCGTTAAACGAACATGACCACTATAACTAATATTTTTTAAAGCTCGTTTTCTCCCCTTTGGAGCTAGAATTTTCCAAAAGCCTTTCTTAGTGTGCTTCTACAGTATGATGGGTACTATGAAAGGATACTTGAGTCTCAATTTCATCTTTTACCGTTTGGGCTGTGCGTTGATCACCAATTAGTCAGGACAAACTGTTTTATATATAGAGATAACGCAACGTTTTAAGATAGACTATGTGCAAAAAAGGGGAATAATTATAAGGGAATATCCTAATTTTAAATTCACATTTGAGTCTTTTCGTCCCATATTGAGTCAATACGGTCACGTACAAACTCGGAATATGAAACACGGCACTCGTGTCAATGCCGTGCAGCGATGAGCCACTATCAAAAAGCACTGACAATTCTCATCTCAATTTGCTAGAGTAAAACTTTCGATAGTTGAAGCCACCGATACCATCAAAATAACGAAGTTTGAATGCAATAAGCAGAATATTTAAATAATAAAATCTAATTATTTATTGAGATCAATAAGAACAAATCATATACATACATACATACATCTGCCCGCAATGCGAAGCAGAATATGCGTAGCTCCGTTATTCGGTTTCTGCTTTACTATCGCTTACGCAGTCGGTGCCTAGCGACGGTAACTGTAAACTTTTGGCGTTTTGCCTTTGCAATTAACATTAAATGGTCAAAACGAAAGAAGAAGAGCGAGCCAATGACTTACAGTTGTTGTTGTTTTTAGAGCATTATTTTTTTTTACAATCAAACAACTGTGTTCGATTGCCCAATGTATACATTAATACGAATGTACATACATACTGTATTCATACACAGGCATACATACATACATATGTACATATGTTTCTCTTTACTTTTTCAACCGTACGTAGAGAACCGCACACATAGACACGAACTGTTGCTTGTTGTGTGTGTGAGTGTGTGTATGTGATGTCCCCAACTATTTGATATTTGTTGTTGCTGCATAAAGTTATTCATGAAAACCCTAATGCCAAATGCACTAAACAAAGAAAAAATTACTTTTAAAAATGTTACATAATTTTCAATTAGAGCAAGAAATTTGCTCTGTCAGTGCAAGACGAATGTACATACATACATATGTACATAGATGTGCACATATGTCTGGACATTCACACATTAGTGTCTCACATTTTGCTTTGGCTATTTCAATCGTTTGCACTCAACTACACGAACAGCTGCTTGCATGTGTGTGTGTGTATGTATACTTCGTTGTCCCCAACTGTTTGATATTTTGTATTGTTTGTTCTGCCTGCTTTTGTAAAATGCATATTTTGAAAATCCTTGAATGCAAAGTTGTAGATTTAGTTACGTAGATTACATTACCCAAATTTTAAATCGATCGGACTAAATTTAAAACACAAACTTTTCATTTGAAATAGTGAATAAATATTAAAACCCCAATAATTCAAGCTCCAACACAAATTTCGAAAATCTAAGTATGCAGTTTTGTTTGTATTCTTTAATTGATTTTAGAAACTAAGTTTTAAGTCGATCGGCTAAAAAATGCGGATTTTTCAAACAAACTTTGGAGCTCGAATTTTCCAAAATCCCTTCTTAGTGCGCATCTACACCATGATAGGATACTTGAGCCCAAATTTCAGCATCCTAGCTTTTACCGTCTGGGCTGTTGGCTGTTGACGCGGTTTGCTTTTGTGCCCCAACATTTTTTTTACAGGAAAACTCCCATATTTTGGGCCCCAAAAAAAATATCAAAAAACCAAGTATACAGTTTTTCTTGGAATTGTTCTGAGAGTATACAAACTAAGTTTAAAGTTAATCAGATGAAATCATACAAACGTTGGAGCCTGTTTTCCCCCCTTTGGAGCTAGAATTTTCCAAAAGCCTTTCTTAGTGTGCACCTAGACTATGAAAGGATACTTGAGTCCAAATTTCAGCTTCCTAGCCTTTACCGTTTGGGCTGTGCGTTGATCACCAATCAGTCACTCAGTCAGCAGTCAGTCAGGACAAACTGTTTTATATATATAGATTATTTAAGTATTTTAATTGTAATTTGTTTTCTTCTATCTTTTATTGCTATATTTTTATAGCCTGTACCTAAAGGTACCTAGTTTTGTGCGCATGTATGTAACACACAGAAGGAGGCGTGGTAGACCCCACGAAGTATAAATATTTTTAATCAGGGTGACAAGCCGAGTCGATATAGCCATGTCCGTCCGCCCGTCCGTCCGTCTGTATGAGCGCAAGGATCTCAGAAGGTAAAATAGCTAGAATCTGATACACCCCCACTCCCCCGCAATTCGTGTTTTTTTTAAACTTCCGTTATTCTTGGAATTTTGAAATCAGTTTTAGTAGTTCCGTCCAGTTAGTGCTTATGTGTCCGTATGCCAAATTTCATCATGATAGGTCAATTCTGAAGAAAGTTATAGCCATAAATAAAATCGCTGCTCATGCTCTGCTTGCAGCGCTGCCCGCATCTGTTGTTGTTGCTGCTTTGGTTCAACTTTGTGCTGCATACATACACGCATATAAATACAAATAGACACGTGATGTAAATGTAAAACTGTACATAAACATGTTTTCTATGTATGTATTAAATAAATTTTCTTAATTAATTTAATAAATTAATTTAATTTTTTTTAAATAATTTAATTTTTTTTAATATATTTTTTTTAATTTTTCTTTTTTGTGGAGAGTACAGGCTATTTTACTGTCGGGCTTGCTCGACTGTAGCGTTCTATCTTGTTTCATCTACACTTCTGTTTTGATAGGTCTAATAACGTATCTGACTACTCTCTGCTGTGAATCGGGGCATAGCTGGCAGTTTGGCAAATAAAATTCCCCCACCATGTCGGATTCGTTATTAGATATTTTTGTCATTTTTATAGCCTTTTTTATTTCTTTAGTTTTACTTATTTTAAGTTCTCTTCTGTATTGTATTGATTTTTATAGCCTGTACCCAAAGGGTGAAGCATCGAATTAGCCGTGTCCGTCTGTCCGTCCGTCCGTCTGTGTGAGCGCAAGGATCTCAGAAGGTACAAGAACTAGAATTACCAAACTTGGTATCCAGGTTCCCCTAAGCCCTAGGAAGGTCAAGTTTATTTTTTTATTTTGATACACCCCCCACTCCCCCGCAATTCGTGTTTTTTTTTTATAACTTTCGTAATTCTTGGAATTTTGAAATCAGTTTTAGTAGTTACGTCCAGTTAGGGTTTATGTGCCCGTATGCCAAGTTTCATCATGATATGTCAATTCTGAAGAAAGTTATAGCCATAAATAAAATCATTGCCCATGCTCTGCTTGCAGCGCTGCCCGCAGCTGTTATTCTTGTTGCCTTTATATACACGTATACAAGTATAAACAAGCATAGACAAGTGATGTATATGTAAAACTGTACATAAAAATGTCTTCTATGTATGTATTAATTTAATTAATTAATTAAATTTTTTTTAAATAATTTAATTTTTTTTTAAATATTTTTTTTTTAATTTTTCGTTTTGTGGAGAGTATATGCTATTTTACTGTCGGGCTTGCTTGACTGTAGCGTTCTATCTTGTTTTTTTTTTTATGTACATCGACTGCACTGTTTGTCGATGGAAATAAATAAATAAAATAAAATAAAAAAGAAGAGCAGCTGAAAATGCCGATGAACGCGAATTACGTTTCCAAGATCTTCGCGAAAGAGCATCCACAAGCATCAAGAACGGAATTTGCGGCTTCGTAAAATCCGCGAAAAGGCATCCACATGAGATCCAAGAAATACAAACCAGAGGCGATGGATATACTTTATACAGACGAAGAAAGGTGGACGACAGTGGGTACTCAAGGACCTCATCAAAGCCATAACAAGCGAATGTTTGTACCCAATCTATTGGGAAAGATGTGACAACGGAAAGCACTACAATTCAGTGGTGCAGCAACGCAAGCCGGATACGCTAGTTATATAATAATAATAAGAATAAAACAAATTTCATTTGATGGAGCGGTAACAGTGGGCCTGTCTAACCCCACTCTAGCCTTTATTTCTTGTTTTCTTGTATTATCACAAAAAAAAACTTTTTGTTTCTTTCATTAAAGGGACAAGTGCTAGATACCATTGCAAGAAAAGCCCTTTGGGATATAGGCTTAGATTATGGCCATGGTACTGGTCACGGAGTTGGACATTTCCTTAATGTACATGAAGGACCAATGGGTGTGGGAATTCGTGTAATGCCTGATGACCCTGGTCTACAAGAAAACATGTTTATTTCAAATGGTCAGTATTATTATTTTAAAGATTTATATTAAAAACTTAATATACTATAAAAATGTCCATATTCGTGTATAGAGCCTGGATTTTACCAAGACGGAGAGTTTGGTATACGCATTGAGGATATTGTCCAAATTGTGCCAGCGCAATCAAAGTACAACTTTGCTAACCGAGGCGCACTTACTTTTAAGACAATTACAATGTGCCCAAAGCAAACGAAGATGATTGTTAGAGATCTATTAACGGCCCTTGAGGTATGTAAATGTGAAAATTATCTATTCTAAAAGGAACCAACACTTATGTTTAATCCAGATTGATTTGCTAAATGGATACCATCAGTTAGTTTGGAATACTCTTTCTCCAATATTAGCTCAAGAAGGTGATTCGTTTACTTTATCCTGGCTGAAAAAAGAAACTCAGCCGATATAATTTAGATTTGTTTAATAATATCCGTTGAAGTATATGTTTTCAATACTGTATTATAACATTATATTCATTATTATTTTGCCCCAATAAAAAGTTAAATTGAAAGATGTTTTTGTAATAAAATTTTAACATAACTGTTTTATCTGGCTCGCATCACAAAAGGAGTCATTCAGATGGGGACTTTTGCAAATCGACAAAATTTAAATTCTTATAAATCCCAAAACAGTCTCGTAATAACTCTTGTTAGAATACGAAAACATCCTAAATAAGTTGGGTAAGTATGTAATATGAATGCACCAGAGATCCGATGCAATTGCATCAGTAATACCTGTCAGCGCAATTATGATCGTTCCTGGCCTCTTGGCGATCAATGACAACAATAGAAGTCCGCAGAGAATGACTCGTAGGTGAAAGCATAAATAAGAACTTACTTATACTTTTAAGATGTGCGCGAAATTTCGCATCGTTTCAAAATCGCAAAAATTTGAAAACAATTTTTTAAATTTAATTTTCTAAATCGAAATACATTTATTTCATTTAGTTTAGTATTTATCGACATAGGGCATGTGCCTATGTTTTTTTTTAGGCTTTTTTTTCGAACTTGCCCTCCAAGCCAGCTGTCAGCAACAGCTGACTGTCGACGCTCACATTTTACTGACTAATTCTGTAAAAATCCTGTAACGTACTCAGCTGTCAGCAACAGCTGACTGTCGAAGATTGCATTTGACTGACTAAATGTGTTTAAATTCTGTGACGTTCTATGTTAAATAAAAAACAAGTAAAAGAGCTAAAGTCGGGTGTCCCGACTTTGAAATACTCTGTACATATGTTTACAACAATTATAGAAAATCAAAAAAATTAAGAAAATTAAAAAAAAAAATGTTGATAGATTTTAACTCTCTCGGTATTCGAACTCACGTAAAGGGTGTATAATTGCACATTTACATAGCAATTGCGTCAGTGTGAGTGTATGTATGCCTATGCGCATCTATTCGTGTCTGTGTAAACATGTTAGCAGTCAACCAAACAGCAACATCAACAACAGCCGCGGACAGCGCTTGAGCAGCACTGCAGCAGCAAATATATTTATGGCTATAACTTGTTAAATCGGTCTATCATAGTGAAACTTGGCATACGGACACATAATAAATAACTGGGGGTATTTGCATATGCAAATTTTAGTTCAAAATTCCAAGAATTACGGGAGTTAGAGAAAATCGCGATTTGCATGGGAGAGGGGTGAGGGAGGAAAATTCCAACAAAAATTTTTTTTCTTCGTATTCACATAAGGCATCTTGGACTAAAATTTGGTGTCCCTAGCTCTTATAGTCTCCGAGATATAGGCGATTATACGAATGGAAAATCGGGAAAACCCCCCATAGGGGGGAAGTGGGGGAGGAAAATCAAAAAAAAAAAAAAACAAACTCGTATAGCGTACACACAAGGCATCTTTGTGCAAAATTTGGTGTCTCTATCTCTTATAGTCTCTGAGATCCAGGTGTTCATACGGACAGACTGACAGACGGACAGACAGACAGGGCTAGATCGACTCGTCTCATCATGCTGATCAAGAATATATATACTTTGTGGGGTCTGCCACGCCTCCTTCTGCCTGTTACATTTTTCACTTCCCGCAAACCTTATATACTCTTGTACATTTCATGTACAGAGTATAACAAATATGCCATTTGCATTAATATTAGCCCGCGAGCATTTGCGGAAACGCCAATTAATTGTTGAGAAAAAAACGCAAATTTTTAAGAAGCGCATATAATCCCACATAAGAATGTTGCTTATTAAAAATTAAATTTATTTTACATTTTTTAAAACATCATTTGGAATTTCGTCCTATGTGACGATATATACTTTTCAAAAATTAACATTTAAAATTTAATTCAGAAATTACAACAAGAAGAATGCTAAAGTCGAGCAGGCTCAACTCTTGAATACCCTGTACCATCCCACAAAAAAAAAATTAAATTAATTTAATTAATTAATTAATTAAATTAATTAACTAAATTAAATATAAAATGTTCCATACATGCATACATACATTTATGCGTGTTTGTGTACTTGTACATATGTATGTATGTGTGCATTTGGCCTGGTTATATGGCTATAACTTTATTTCTGATCAACTTATCATAATGAAACGGATATATAATCACTAACTGAATGTCTCCCAAATTTTAGTTTAAAATTCCAAGAATTACGGAAGTTGTAGAAAATGGGGGGTGGAATAGGGGGCGAGTGGGGGGGGTGCATCGGGAAAAATGAACAAACTCGTCCTTTCTCGGGCTCACGAGAATCTAGATACCAAGTTTGGTTATTCTAGCTCTTATACTTTCTGAGATCCTTGCGTTCATACAGACAGACAGACAGACGGACATGGCTATATCGACTCGGCTTGTTATGCTGGTCAAGAATATATATACTTTGTGGGGTCTACCACGCCTCCTTCTGTGTGTTCCATGTACACTCGCACAAAACTAATACTCTTTGGGTACAGGGTATAAAAATGTAATTACATTTTGATTCCCTAGGCCGCATTGTATATTCAAATGGCAGTTTATGACCATTCACATTTTCGCTAACAAATAGACTTGCCCAATCGACACACAATTTTCGCCAATTTTGTTTAATTAATACACAGTTATGTGGTACTTATTTGAAACAAGAATTGTGTCAATTATATATTATATTTTTAACTTCCGTTTAACTCACAATGTTCGGCAAAATGTGATGTTCGAAAAATGTAATTATACCCTGTACCCAAAGGCTGAAAGGGTATACTAGTTTTGTGCGAATGTATGTAACAGGCAGAAGGAGGCGTGGCAGACCTCACAAAGTATATATATTCTTGATCAGGGTGACAAGCCGAGTCGATATAGCCATGTCCGTCTGTCAGTCTGTATGAGCGCAAGGATCTCAGAAGGTACAAGAGCTAGAATTACCAAACTTGGTATCCAGGTTCCCCCAAGACCTAGGCAGGTCGATTGTTTTTTTATTCCGATATACCCCCCCACTCCCCCGCTATTAGTGATTTACGTAACTCCCATAGTTCTTGGAATTTCGAATTCAAATTTGGTAATTACATCCAGCTAGGGATTATGTGTCCGTATGCCAAGTTTCATCATGATAGCTCAATGTTGAAGGAAGTTATAGCCATAAATAACATCGCTGCCCACGCTCTGCTTGTAGCGCTGCCGGCAGCGCTGCCCGCAGCTGTTGTTGTTGTTGCTGATTGGGTTCAACTTTGTGCTGCATACATACACGCATATAAACAAGCAGAGATGTCTGCGTGTACATCTCTGATGTATAGTAAATGTATGCTGTTGAAACTGTACATGAATATGTCTTTAATTTAATTAAATAATTAAATTAATATTATTTTTTTTTAATTATTAAAAAAATTTTTTTTCATTTTTTCCTTTTTGGTGGGAGGTACAGGGTATTTAAGAGTTGAGCTTGCTCTACTTTAGCATTCTTTTCTTGTTTTCTTTTTGAGCCAAGGGCACCTCTATTGCTTGGTTGTTTTAGATGCGTTTTAGATGTTTTAGATGTGTGTGAATGCTGAAGTTTTAAGTATACATTTAGTAATTTGCTAATTTAATAATATTTTCATAGGATATGCAAAATATTTTTGATGCAGATTGCAGAAAAACTATAAGGTTTATATTTCAAATTGTTATTTGGAAAAATGTCTTTGTTAGTGTTTTTAATAAAAACTCCTGGAAAAACAAACGAGATTAGAAAACTCCCAACAAGTAGAGACACGCTTCTGATATAAATTATGCTGTTCAGACTGTACATAAACATATGTTTCTACTAACGTAAATATGTACAATATGTATTGCATTTCTTTTTTTTATTTAAGAACTAGCAGGTCTTGCCCGTCTGGCTCAGTATTTGTGCTTACAATTATACGTTTTTTACTTTATGATATTTCTCTTCCGACACTCTCTAGAGTTTCTAAATTGTTCATTTCCCAAACAGCACATTACTTAGGTACGATTTTGAAATTCACATAAAAACGGATGTATACTTTGGATATGAATTAGAATCAAAACTAAAAAAAAACGAAAGGATAAGATCGATGAAATTAATGAAAGTAATATCCGGTTGAATTGCAGAGATTTTGTTTCCGAATTATTTAATCAGCTGAAACAAAGATATGGGAATTGCTGTTGTTTATACCTCAATATAACAATTAAATTTAAGGTTACCGCAAAACTTTGAATTTTAAAAAATATTGATAAGTTTTCGGTTGAAAATGTATTACGAACAATCAAAGAGCCTATTCTTTTAATTTTAGAGTTGTTTAAAATCAACAACGATGATATAGAAAAAATCTTGTTACAGTATAATAACATACACATTATAAAATGGCAAAATGTTGACAGCACCGTTATTAAATTTTGGTCGGAAGTAAAATCATATATGGACTCAGCAGGCAATTATCAATTTTTAGAGTTGGTATTATTTGCCCTTACTTTGTTGACATTGCATTGGTCAAATGCGGAAGTTAGGTCAATTTGATAAAAACAAAGCTAAGAAACCGTCTCCAAATGTAGACGTTGAATGCAATCTTGTCCATCAGGTAGCATTTAGATATTACTACATATACTTGTAAGTAGATATGTATTTAATTAATTTTAACCATTTACTAGATTCGGATTACGTCGGTATGGTGCATGATGCAATACTTATAAACGTCCAGAAAAATATCTTAAAATGATAGGCAGTATTGGAAATGTAACAGCTGTTTACATTAGAAATAAGCATTCATATAATCTGGCAGCATTGTATCAAGCATCAGGCGACGCTTCTTCCTTATTACTCTTTTGTATTCAGTTCTTAATAAACGTTCGACCGAAACATGAAATGTACAAGAGTATATTAGGTTTGCGGGAGCTGAAAAATGTAACAGGCAGAAGGAGGCGTGGCAGACCCCACAAAGTATATATATTCTTGATCAGCATGATGAGACGAGTCGATCTAGCCCTGTCTGTCTGTCCGTCTGTCCGTCCGTATGAACACCTGGATCTCAGAGACTATAAGAGATAGAGACACCAAATTTTGCACAAAGATGCGTTATGTGTGTA